AACTGATCATAACTGATGTCAGTCTAGTAGCTTTTCAAAAGAAAAAAGAAAGAAAGGAAAAAAACAATACAGAGGAAAACCCATAAGGCACATAAGGCACTTTTATAAATTCACCTCCAAAATTAACGTACAAAACATTCTGGAAATATTTCCTGTGCTACTATCTATCTTTCTTTCTCTCTTACCCTCACATAAATCGAATTCAGATAGCAAAATACACCCTCACTTAATCTTCCCTTGTACTTAATTTCAATGGGAATACACAAAGAAATAGTCATCAAATACATGGTGTTCTGGGGATCATAAATCTTTTCTTTGAAAAGAGATTATATAAATACCTTAAACTCCAATGTAGCTATGACTTGTCAAAGTATCAAAACACATAAAATCTAAAAGAAAGAGTGCTGGGGAAATGACTTAGTGGATACTGTTTACTGTATAAACATGAGGACCTTAGTCTAGATCCCAGGAGCACCATGCATCTCTAATGCCACTACAGGGAGATGGGAAAAGGACTCCCAGTCAGTCTGGTCAATCACTGACGCCCAGGTTCAATGAGACCATCTCAGAAAATAAGGTAGAGAGACAGAGAGAGATTACTCAGCATTGACGGCTGCCCTCCACATGCACACACAGATAAAGTGCACGAACACACTCACATAGCCTCAAAGAAAGACAGTTCCTTAAATGAGTATGAGTACTTCCATAGAAAAGTAGTCAGACAAACCAAAGAGAAAGAAGAGATGACCGAAATCATGCTGAGTGCATATCAAGTGGAGCTGACAGGTAGCAAAGCCTATCCCGAACAGTTCCTTACTAGGGATAATACCGACCGACATCAGAGGACTTTAAGTACCTCCTGACCTTGCAGAATAGAACACACATGTATCTAAAAGGGCAGTGAAGAGAGGACAGTAAAGCAGGACTTGGTGCTCATGGCTGGGAGCTGGATCCACAGGAAACAGGCATTAAAAGCCCAGCAGCATCTGCTGTGATCTACAGTGGGTGACAACAGCAAGGCTAGGATGGACAGTATGCAGCCTGCTTTATGAGAGGTGAAGCTATGCCTGCCTCAGAGCATCACCACTGACCAGCTCCACAGTTATCCTCACCCACTGTGATGCAAGAATCTAACCCCAGGCATCAAGAGCCACTGAGACCTCTGATTCGCTTTTAGTAGCCTGTATTGAAAAACAGACAACTTCAAAAGAACCTTGAGCGAAGTCTATGAAATGAGTTACAAACAGAAAGTACTGTGACCAAGAGTTAGCCTTCATCAGACTCTTACAGCTTATTCTGAATACTGTATTAGAACTTTCCCTCCGAAACAAATACATTAATAAACTCTTCGAGGATTTGCATTCCCTACATATTCAACTCTAGAGGCCCTTTCTGCCAGTTATTATTTGCAAATTATTCTACACAATCCATTCTATACCAAAACTTTCAAAAAACAATATATTCTACAGGATGAAGATACACCCAGACATAAAGATATACCAGGTTATACTTAAAGCATGTGATAATTACTTTTCCGCAAGTAAATGTTTATCACATGTAACTAAATGGTTTAGAACAATAGGATAGTTCTAAATTTTAAAGATGAGCAGTGGCATTCTACCTCATTCATCTGGGTTTCTATCTTTTCAGTGACACCATACTTCTTTAATGGTAGGAGTATAGATCCCATCTCACTACTCATTTTCAAAAATGAGTTTGGTGTGACCAATTCACAATACAAACAAGTTTAATTTTTAAAAGAAGGAGATAGGGGAACAACTAGCTCAATACAGAATGGTGGCTCCCTGTGGCAAGAAAAAGCAGATGGCAGCAGCAAGGACCACACAAGGACCTCAAGCGTTATGGCAACAGTCTATTTCTTAAATTTTGTCCTGACTTCCTGGTCAATATCTAATTGTCGTCTAAAGCCTGGACCCACAGCATGCACAGAAAAGATTCTAATAACTCACCATTAAAATTTTAAATCCAAGTTTTACAGCCATCCTTCTAGTCATTTTTCCAAAAAGATTTCCTCATCCATCTACCTACTTACCTACGCACCTACCACTCACCTAAATGTCATCTCGTTGCTGGAACTGGAGCCTGTAGTCTTATACTAGGCAAGAGCTCTACCACTGCACTATATCCTAACCCCTCCAACTGTAGTTCAGAACCAATTCTGCAGGTTTTACAATTCCCATTGAGACTTTTAAATAAGCAATTGCAATCAATTTATGGATGAAGTTGGTGCATACACATGATTGTTACACAAAGACAGGATGCTAGGAATGGCCCTATAAAATGACCAAGCTTGGGCTGTTTGTGTTATGTCATACTTAACTGTATCGTTCCCCTGCTAAAGTAATCTAGACACTGAATACATATTAGTCTAGACACCCATGACTAACTGTCTCATGTTTCTCCCTTGGCACTCTGCAAAAACATCCAAGTGTCTCAGAGCCCTACAGGAATTCCTGGTGTCACCCTCTCGGTGTGTACTGTGTATGAGGACCTGCTCAGCAAGCTCTGGATCTCACTGCTTAAATGCAGGAATTTTGTCTATTCCCGTGATGGCTTATCCTTGAATTCTGTCACTATTTGTCAAGAAGGACCAAACAAGTTGGCCTTGACTCTGTGACCCCATGGTGTTCCACTGAGGCTGTCTCATTAGTGCCAGGCCAGGTTGCTCATGTCTCACTGAGAACGAATGGAGCATAGAGCAACCTAAATTCTAGGGACGTGATGATAAAACATTTCATCCTTGATAGGGACAAAGAGTTTTTTTAAAAAATAGGGATAAAGCTCTGTCATCCTGAACCGCAATGACATAGCCAAAAATTACTAAATATACCACAGGGTACCAAGAGAGTTTCTCAAAAACTGTAAAGGACGACCCATTTGTACTTTTAAAAGACATTACAGACTCTGATGGCAACAGCACCCTCTTCTGACTCTTAATGGAATTGCATGAAGAGGCAGGAAATGCATTGATTCTAGGTGGGAAAGTCCTCTTACTGTATAAAGCCAAGCATGGAGAAGGATGAGGATGCATGCCCACAGCACACACAATCTAGACACTAGGCACATTATTTAATTTCACATTTCCTTTCACTAGCTTCAACTCTTGCATGCTGTAACAGCCACGTTATTACTGACAGGGTTTATTCACCCTGTGTGGAACTAGAGTGAATGTTACTGTAGCACATCACCACAGCAGACTCTACTGTGACCATGGAGGAAAAGAGAAGCCTAGAATGCAGACAATTGCAATGCAAATATACACCAGTGGTTATGTAGCCAGTGGCCAGGCATTTGCTCTGGAGAGAGGTGGGCCCGGAGTCCCATGGGACCCTCACTTCATAGCAGCCTGACAGAATCAGAGAGGTAATTAGCTATTAGCTGCAGATCCCACATCAGTAACACAAGAGGTTCTATTTCCCAGTCTCACAGCAATTCCTGAGGACACCAAACTGCAGAAGCAGCTACAATGAGTGCTCATAGTATAGCAGGTCATTAGCAACCCCAGCACAAAGGGACAGAGACCCGGTCAGCAGTAGCCAGGCTAATTCTATACACATGGATATATGAATAGAGACACATATACTAAAGGGACAGAGACCCAGTCAGCAGTAACCAGGCTAATTCTATACACATGGATATATGAATAGAGACACTTATACTAAAGGAGATAAGGATAACACAAGTAAGGAAAAGGAATTATACGTTGGTAAATTCTGCAAACAGACAATACTGGAGCTCTCTGTATTTATACAATGTAAAACTATTTCATTTTTTTAAGCTGTAAAACTTAAAATGGAATTAGTATTTTAGAAACAAATTTTACAGAATGGTTGGTAATCTGTACAAATCATGTCCAATCAGAAATAGAAAGCATGCCTGATGCTTTCCTTGCAGTGAGGAGATGAAATAGAAATTTTACATATAGTGGAGCTCCAATACTATGTGTGCCCAGACACAAAACACTTGGCTCACTGATGAATCTGTAGGGCCTCCTCCTTCCTAAGAGCAAGATATGGCTTTACCCTGTATGTGTGTCATAAGAGAAAAGGAAATCAGAAAGCCAGGGCAAAACCACAGTGGCTACTCTGGATCTATGAGGTGGTCTGAGAAGCAGGCTTGATTGGTACCTGGGGGCCTGCCTGGACTCCATAATTTTTAAAAATCAACATTTCTCTAAACTCAAACAGGAAAAAAAATTTGACAAGGGTCATTAGTAGATGGTGAGTCCACCAAGTGGAAGAGGATTATGGGTAATTATGTTTGAAAAAGAATATGTCGCAATGAAGAAATAAAATAGTCCTCTTAACCAAATGGTGAAATTCAGCATTACTAATAGAACAGCCTGGCAGGGCATGCCTTGCAACATGATGCAGAATGAAGTTACATTTTCCTCTATAAAATATACTCACCAAAAACATTAAACTTGAACCCAAGCAGATCTACACCAGACTTCAAGTTTAGGAATCCATAAAACAATCCCAAAAGGAAACAAGCAGGTGGATCGGGACGGGGCATACATCGGAGCTTGAGATTCCCCTGGCCCTTTCCTTAGTTTTGGAGAGTGTGGCAATGGTAAACACTGAGGTAGTGCAAATATGAGAAAAGTTGTTTTCTCTTTAGTCCCACTCTGTCAGGCGTGGCATTCACCCTGCGGCCACATTTACCAAATTCTAGGGGGAAGGGAAGATTTGGAAGTTAAGAAAAAGTCAGGAATATTGACAGAAAAGAGGAGGCAAGCCTTCTGTGGAGGTGAGAGAGTGGTGGAGACAGAGACAGAGACAGAGACAGAGACAGAGACAGAGACAGAGACAGAGACTGCGCTGCAGTACTCCACAGGTCCCATGCAAAGAGAGGGCCAGGGAACAGCCAGGCTGGCAGGCTATACAGGACTAGCTAGGAGGGTGATTCGTAACTTGGATACTGAGTGGTTTCTCCGCTCTACAACCCGATCTTAGAAACAAAAGTTAACTTAATTTCACCTTTGCTGGAGAAGAGAGTGTAAAGTGTGCTACACAGGTAGAAAGTCCCACCACCATGCATGTCGATGTGGAGCTGGTAGCCTTGCAGGCCATAGTCTGGACTGTCATCCACAAAGGGACTATGATGAGGAGGCGGCACATAGGGGCTGAAAAGCAAATCAAAACATACACAAATCTGTCAACGTCACAGACAAAATACTTGCTTGGAAAATACTCCTAAAAATTAATATCTATTCAAAACACTTCCTCCCACCAATGGCACGCTATAGGAGCCCTAATAATCTTCATACCGTGAACTTAAAAGTAATTGTCCATGTTGTTCTCACCAACTTCTAAAAAAATCAGCACAGACATAGAGTTCCACGGGCAGCCATCAGACTAGAACAGTGACTGTGACTGAGATCCACCCTAGAACAGTAGTTCTACAAAGGCCACCCGACCCTCAGAGTTCTCAGTGGCCAAAGACTGGGGCACCAACACAGACTTACAGGCCAGGGAATCAGGCAAAGACACAGCTAAAACCAACCAATTGTTTCAGTTGAGAAAAACCTCACCACGGAAGGCAACATCCTTAAAATCACCCAGGAGCTTTACAGATATTAAAAAGTAAATAAGGGAGGGACCAAGGGGAAAGCTGCAGGGAGACAGAAAACACTGCTCCCCACCAAACAATAGGCTGATATACAAGAAGACACTCACAGAAACAGAACAGAGTCAGTCAGAGGGCTAAAGGTCTGCACATTTTCAAAGTTTAAAACTTCACATTGTTAAGTAAGAGACTTGGGGGAGAATAGCAGCATGCTATCAAAACAAAGCACTCCTGCCTCTGTAATACTCTACCAGGTATAAAATCCTTAAACTAAAATAAATCGAGCAGACACATATTCATAAATAATACAATTATGTTGGCAATAATAACACATTGCTAAGTGGTCAGTCAGGTCTGTGGTCTTGTGTCTACTGGTTACAGAATACTTTCATAGTTATTGTAAGAACTTTAAGATGGAACTGATTCTAACCCTCTATCCTTATCATACAAAAATCCAATTAACCCACATACAGATACATACAGAGTGGTTGAGCCTAATGTACTTCTCTCCACGAGGCGATGAAAATGAAGATTTGCCATGACAAATGCTAGTCCGTCATCCTTCTGAAAAGTAAATGTAAAAGAACATAGTTTTCAACAGACACATTTTAATTTTTCACAAGTTCATTTTGAAAACCACAGTTTATCATCTTGAAGATACATGCATTGTTATTGCTAATAAGATGTTACCAAAAGACCTGCATACAATACTGAGAGCTGGACCATGATTCACTCAATATGCAGAAATGTAGTCCCAAAAGAATTAATGTTCTACACTTGTGAGATAGCAAAATGCTCTCTTATATACAATGATTTCCATGTCATTTATACATATACATAAATAATTCATAATATGCATATACTTACATACATGTATAAATATATACATATACATGTGTGTGTGAAAGACAGAGAGAGAGATGATTTCAAGCTACTTCAAACCCTTTTCAAAGATAAAACACAATCTGATAAGACCCTGAAGATGTCTGGTAAATTTCACAGATACTGAGCATTACTGGATAATGTTCTTCTACTTAGCTATAGCTGTCAACTTGATAAATCCCAGAATTCGACAAGAATCCCAGTTGAGACACTGTTTGGATCTGACCAGCTTGTGAGCCTGTCTGCGGGACATTTTCTTGATTGCTAGTTGATGTAGGAGGGCCCAGCATCCCTAGGTATGAGGTTCTGGACTATCTATGACAGCAGGCTGAGCAGAGGCTAGAGAACAGGCAAGCAACCTTCCTCCATAGGTCCTACTGCCTGGTACCTGACTCGACTTCCTGCTCTGACTTCCCTCAGTAGGAGGGCCCAGCATCCCTAGGTATGAGGTTCTGGACTATCTATGACAGCAGGCTGAGCAGAGGCTAGAGAACAGGCAAGCAACCTTCCTCCATAGGTCCTACTGCCTGGTACCTGACTCGACTTCCTGCTCTGACTTCCCTCAATGATGGGTTGTGGCCTGGAAGTGTAAGATGAAATAAGTTCTCTCCTCACTCAAGTTGCTTTTGGTCATGCTGTTTATCATAGCAACAGAGATCAAACTAGAACAATGTTTCTTTTCCAAATGAATGCTTAGTTGGGCATTCTCTCAACCAACCTGTGAACAGCTCTCGTTAAAGAGCCAAGAGCCAAAGCCACAAAACTAAACAAATGTAGAAGCACAGAGGTGTATCACACTTTCCTGCAATCCACTAAGTGACTGTCTAGAATATAACTCCATTAGAACCCTTCTTTTGAATGGCTGGTCAGGGTGGTATAAGTCACTCCCAAAACAATATAGACTATTGCTGTTGTCTTGGTTGCTTCTCAGAGGTTGAAGTTTATAAACCCCTACTGCTGAATACATTGCACACTTAGGACACAGAGTTCAGACTGACTCAGATGATTCCTGCTTATCTGACCTCAAAGCCTCTTCCCTGTGGTTTAGCTTCAGTGCTACCAGAAAATACTATGCAAGCTGCCAAGGGAGAGAGAGACACTAATAGTCCTACCCAGCTGCAACACCCATAAACCATAACAATGACCATCACAGTAAGGTATCGGTAAAGGTGCCAGTAAGTGGGACTCACATGTAGGTGGCACCAAACAGCTGCTAATTGGACCTAAGGGCCACTCAACAAAAGGGAAATTTTGCCTGGTACTATAAACCTAACCAACTTCCTAAGCTAGTGAGGTCATGGGTCTCAGAAAAGAATCTACTGTAGCCACTTTGCTAGATCAGCATAATTCTCTACTAATTCCAAATATTATCCTGACAACCATAAGTAAATGTAGCTACTCAGAAAACAGAGACCATTACAAAAATCTGCAACAATGCAGACATCAACAGGTGGTTTGGAGCTCAACCCTAATGGAAACATTTACATCACAACTCTCAAATCTATGGCCCAGGGAACATTGAGAGAGGGGGCATCAATATTTTAAGAGTCAGAACATCAGTAAGTTTGCTGTCAGACAGTCCGTCTTAGAAATCGCTGCATAAACAAGACCCAAACAAATGCCCCATGATCCCAACCCTAGACATAGAACTACAGGCAAAGAATGAGTGCTGAGAGACAGAGAATTATAGGCTTTCCCAGAGTTGAGACCCCTAATGGGTTATCCAATAGTAAGTCCTTAAACTATATACACACAAACAACAAAACTATTTATATGTTTCTGCATACATATAGGTATGTGTGTATGTAACAATAACAGAAGGAGGCCATCAATTTGAGAATGGGAGAAGGCATAAAAGAGGTTGGAGGGGAGAGACCTGTGAGTGGACGGAAGGAAAGGAGCAAAAGGGGAAAGAGAGGTAATTCCATTTGAATTAAAAATAAAAACAAGAACTGAGAAGGATCAGAACTCAGCCTGGCCTTGTGAAACGGAAACACACAGACTGAAAGAGTAACTTCTTAGATACCTGACCCTGAAGGGCAGAGTTATGTCCCACGTCACATACACAAGTCAGAAAAATTCTTAGAGACTTCCATGTTGGGCATGTACTATCAGAAACTCGGGCAAAGAAAGACTTGAGAGGAGAGTGGAACAAGACTTACTGGGTGGGTAAGTGCAAAGTGCCCTGATGTCAAAGAAATAACTGTCACTAGACACAGGAAGGCAGAGGAGGTGCCCTGTCATTCAATCAGCACTGAAAGCCTCTGAGTCTACATTCAGTCTTATACATAACCGTGTGCAAACATGGGACTGTGAGGCAAACTACAGTCCATGCATGAACTCCATCTTACATATGTAACAGTGTGCAGACATGAGACTGTGAAGGCAAACTACAGTCCGTGCATGAACTCCATCTTACCTGCCATAGCCCCACCAGGAGTCCAGGATTTAGACAGAACACCCGGACAAGTCTGTCACAGCCAATCATGGCAGCCTTGCTTAAATGACTCAGATCATACTTTGCAATTAAAGACAGCCAGCGTGGTCTTGGAACACCATGCCAAGAGAGAAGAGAGAGATGTGAACTTTTCAGTATGTCTTGTTGTCAAGTCTCATTAGTGTAACTAAAAATACTTCCGAAGAACAATTTATGCACACTAACATGCTCAAACTAAGTGACATAATTACGGAGCCTTGTACAAATGAGAGGCAAATATACCAAGTTCCTTTCCCTACTGTAGTTTTCTTCCCCTTCCCCTTGCTCTTCCTCTGAGAGCAGATGTGCCTTTTCCCAAAGTTTTTATAAGGTAGGTCTGAGAAACAACACTGGAAGCTGAAACACTAAAAATAAATGTAAGCTGCAATCCTGAGTGTTTTCATGAGAGGACCACACAGGGCTCTCAGTCTTAGTGCCCAAGAGTAAGTACTCGTTTGTGTAGGAGATGCCTTCGCTGTATTCCACGAGAAGACAACACCCTCCAGAGAGAACGGTATCTACAAGTACAATGCAAGGCAGACAACATACGGCTCAGGAAATCAGAGAGGAGCTGAGGCCTCAGTGCTCGATCAACAGAGCACTAGGCTGCGGTCCCTAAAATGCTGGGGCACTGCATCTGGAATTTACTTCCAGGAACTAGTACTCAGATAACAGGTGATAAACATACAGGCACTGAGTGAGTCAAGGCAGGGTCACCTGGGGCACTGCTCCAAAGCAGAGGAGGTTTGTAAAGCAGCAAAACCAAACTGCAACTCTCAGGAGGCAGAATTCTAGCACTGTGTTCATAAGGAATTTTTATGGTGACCACAATAACTAGGTGGCAGCGCTGGTTGTGAGAAGATCTGCGACATAGTAACTAAAAGTAGACTGAGCACATGAGGAATACACCAGGAGGATGGCAAACACAGGACCAGTGACATAAGTATAAATTCAAGGAAACCTCAGCTCCAGTTGACAATGACTTCACAACATCATGGACTGGGTCCCAACATGTGAGAACACCTGCTCAGAGGGAAGGTCAGACAACTCAAGGGAAAAATACCATGACAGCACAGCACATCTACTAGATGCTCAATAGCTGGCAACCATTGCTGTGGCCATGGTCAAGACAGAAAGAGGCAGCTGAGTGGAGATGGTAGAAAGCCTCTTCCCACCTCTTCAATGTACCACAGCTGGGAAGCACTCTCAGGTATGGCTATGGAAATACTCAACAGACTCTAGGGACGACCTAAACCCCCATCACCTTAGCTTTACAAGCCACAGTCATGGGCTGAGGTCTCTGAGAACATTATGCAACCATTCTCAAAAACTTGGAGGGCACAGGGACACATGAACTGAGAACAGAGAACTAATAAGAGTTGAGAGTCCATCTAGACAGGTCTAAGCCACAGGGAAACTATCTGAAAATAACACCATGAGCACTTTTGATAGTCCCAGAAACACTTCACAGCAAAAACAAATGCGAGCTTAAGTGAAGGCACAGTCTCTCCTGGCTCTCACAAAGACAAGGCAAAGACCTGTTCTCCCTCAAGCTGAAAGCACTGGCCTACGAACTGTGGAGAGAGGTCCGTCAAGACACAATGTTGAAACACACTTTCAGCTCTGCTTACCACTGCCGGTGAAAGGCTGGCCCACAGAGTTTAAATGGAAATTAATTACATTAGATTCATTTCCCCCAGTGAATTCCAGCATTCGTTACCATGTAATAACTAGTATTCCTGGCCTTGGCGGCAATTTCTGTGAGTGCTACAGTTCAACTTAACATGTGATTTGCAACCCATGGTCTTTGAAGATACTTTAACTAATGTTAATTAAATTGTACCAGTACCTATAAACAATGATCCCTGATATACCAAGTAACATATCAAAACAGTGCATTTTACAGATTCCTACTCCAAACATAATTTCAGAATGTATACAACTTGCCTGCTATATAAGAAAAACTCGGAAGTTCATCATACAAATTTCAGATTTATCCAAATAACTGTGTGTTGTCAAAATTTGTCTAGTAATCTAATTGGGGAAAATAATCCATGCTTTACACTGATAATGTTTTCAGTAAACACTAAGCATGGGCAGAAGTGATGTCTAAGTATGATCACTAAGCAACCACAGAGCTGGCACCACTTAATGGACCAAAAGCAGGCCCACTCCAGGGAATCTATAAAATAACACTATCTCTTCATATGGACATAGATGAGAGAGACCCATGAGGAGAACTACAATAAGCAAAGACGGCAACAAAATAATGGAGAAAATTCTGCTGAAAAGTCAAAAGGGTGGGGCAGACAACAGCATGACAGTTATGGAGAAGGCATACACTGCAACAGATGTTATATAAAAATTGCTAGCCTACATGGTACATAAGGGTCTACCCCTGCCACAGTCCAGCTTTCATAAGACAGTGACCATTGATGAAGATGGAATTTACTGGGAGAAGCAGGTGTGAGGCTTTCAGTGTTCGTGGACTTGGGGCAAAGTCATCTAACAGAAGGGTACGTGTTTTGTAGTGAACACTCATCTGACCTATAGACTTCACAGGTAAGTCTCATCATCTTCATCCTAAAGGCCGTCAGCATACCTCCAATGCACAGATGTGAAGATGGAGGCAGAGTCAGGTGCACATGGCCACACATTAGTAAATTCAAGAGAAAAATCGCACACAATAAGTTATAATTGCATTTACAAAGTATTTAAACTAAAATTACTATACAATTATTGAAGAATATGATAATTTTGTATCGCTTGTTAAAACAGCTAAAAGTAAAAATGTAGAAAAGCCATATGTCATCTAATAAACTTTAAAAACTAGACTATCATTTTTTACTACTATAAAATTCAAGACATTTTCATCTAGACCTAAGTGTGACAAGCCCGGTATCTTCTGTTCTATAGCAATGCATTCTGATAGGGAGTTCTATGATATACAATCAAATGAAAATCCACTAGTGGTTTTTGTGATTTACAAAGGAATGACAATTAGCACTCAGGATCCAGGAGTCCTTGCCAATGTGCTGCTGAATTAATACTTACCCATAGGGGTCAAAGGTTTTATACCGGTCCGCAAAAACTGGCGTCACACCACACAGATCCAGGGTGGACAACTTGGCCAGATGTGGCCAATTTTTGTCATACCACACAACAGTGGCAGATGTATCATTAAAGGAAAGATCAACATGCTGCATGATGTGTTCTTTTCCACTTTTTTCTCTCAATATAATTGCAAAATGTAGGCCAAATACTCTAAAAAAAGAAAAGACAGCTCAAAATGCTTTCAAAGAAAGAACTCTATCAATGTGTGCGTGCACGCGCGCGCGCGCGCGCGCACACACACACACAACACACACACTTTCTATGTCATTTCCATCCTTGGCACACTCCTGACATGTTTTCATTTCATTCCAAGCCTTTTCTTCTCCAGCGAATACTCCTGAGTATTTGTGACATTCCATGACTGGCAGTTCAGACAATGGAAGGGCACCTTCAACCCTCTGGCTCTACTCCATACCATGAGGCTGTTTCCTCTGTTTATAAAAATGTAAGCCAATATCAAAATATTGTGTATTTTTCAGACACAAAAACACACACAAAGAAAAAAACTATCAGAGACCATCCCCTCTAACATAAACTGCTCATCTAGTCTAAGAATATAGTAGCTAGCTCATAGTATGCATTTTCCTATCACATGTAAAGCCCTAATCTAGGAGCATAACTCATGGTATCCATTTCCCTAGCACGGGTAAGGCCCTAGTTTCAATCCTTAGGCCTGCAAACTAAGAAAAAAAAACCTCAGCATATCCACTGTATACCTAAAACACCTGAATATGACAACATAGGGTTAGAAACTGGAAAATTCTGTGGTTCTGTCCAGGAGCCATTGGTGTGTCCAAGAGCAGCCTACACACCTGAGGGCCTCTTTGATTTTCACAGGAAGACCTGTGTAGGAGTTGACAGGTTTGACAATTTGGGCTAGTGCTTCTTTCACATACGAGATCTGCTTTGTGATATATTCTTTCTTCCAGTACCCAACTTCTTTATCATCAACTGATAGTAAGCTCACAGACGTTGCTGTCTCCTCCACTGAATTAACTTTCCAGTGTGATCTTTTTGGTGAAAAGGCAGCTGAGTAGATTTTGATCCAAATAAGACTGGAAGAAAGGGATAAAATACAGCAATTTGGAGGCATTGTAAAGAACTTGTAACAGCAATGTATTACATGAGTGATGCACAATAATTTTTAATTCAAATAGGGCAATTCTGTGAATAATTTACATGTCTTTATGTGTACAGTGAACCACAGTCTGAAATAAAATGTTTTAGATCCACTATCCCCAAAAGCACATAAAAAGGGGAAAAGCCTATTTCCAGAATTACATTTAAGTTAAGAATTCCTTGTTATTTGGGATCATCCAAATACTGTCTTTCTACAAGACGACTGAGTAGGAGTTCAATCGTAGAAAAATCACAGGTGTATACAAAGGGTGAATCTGGTCTTACTGTGGATATGTATACGCATAACCACTGTACACAAATACACAATAATGAGCAAATACATTATACTTCCACTTCTCTTCCTATCTTTAAATTTTTTACAATGAACATGCTCCAATTTCAAAAACGTAAAATAGTGAAAGTCATTAAAATATAACAGTAACCACTAAGTTTTCTTGAGCACACATGTCAATTGCTACTTAAGCAATTCATATGCATGAACTCATTTAGTCCTTCCAATACACACATGAGGTAACTACTGTTTTTAGCCTGATTGTGCAACATATGGCATAATTACAGTCTAGACTGGTACCTTCAAATATGCATATATACATGAATGCTCAAAAATTATCTATATCATTCCAAAATTATTGTCAAACGCTATCCAATAGTTGATATAGATATAATATGTATTTTCTCACAAAAAAATTCCTTGTGCCTTTTAAAATTAAAAGACAAGAAGTTCCCTTCTCAATTAGAGAAGGTGCATGTTCCCTTTGGGGTGTGAGAACAGTGGAGGACCACCGTAATGAGATCAGAAGGTATACTATGGGTTCCTTACTTGAAGGGTAAACACTATAGCATCAAAGATGTGGTAGACCAGTCATTTAAGAACTAGAGTATTCATTACTATGACCTGGAGAAACTGTAAAAATATGGATTCCAAGCCGGGTGTTGGTGGCACACACCTTTAATTCCAGCACTCGGTAGGCAGAGGTAGGCGGATCTCTGTGAGTTCGAGGCCAGCCTGGTCTACAGAGCGAGTTTCAGGACAACCTCCAAAACAATACAGAGAAACCCTGTCTTGAAAAACCAAAATTATATATATACACACACACACACACACACACACACACACACACACACACACACATGTATATATGGATTCCAGACCACTAAGTTACAATCTTCCAACGTACTGAATTATAATCTTCACAAATGCAAGTGATGGAATCCAAAGTTTTGCATTTTCCCAGCTGACTGTGAAACCATCTTTCATGGACTAGTGTCTGAGAATGTTCCCTCCAAGAACATAAACACCACAGCCTATCTGTCATTCTCCACACCCTTATCTCCCAGATCAAACCTGCATCCCTTACCTGGATGTTTTTCCTAGCAATCTGCAGGTTCACAATCTACAGGTTCAACACAGAATCATTATTTGCATGGTTTTTGATACTAAATAAGAGAGAAGCCACCAAAAGCCAAGAAATGGGCAGCAAAAGCTCAGTAGATACTAGGCGGACTCCATCTCTCCCTACGTAAGACGAAAGTCTATGCGCAGGCCAGGATCACAATGAAAAATATAAGCAGTGGCTTCTCTTTATTCACAGATGCCCGAGAGCCTAAGTATGGGGACTCCCTAATACCCAAGGTAAGGATTCCACTCGCAAGTATATTTGATTGGCAGATTTGGGAGGAAGAGCTAAGTCAGTTTGACAGGCCCCCCTCTCACTTCTTTCTCTCTGATCTACATGACCCCTAGTAGGGGGCACAGCATCTGCCCAAGAACCCAGGACCAGGTGAAAAGCTCTGTGAATGAATAAGTCTATCATGCCTGGAACCCCTGATCACAGATCAAAGTTTTATTCTACAGACCCAACAGGAATAGGCTTTATCTTCATATATGCATTGAATATTCCATATCTTATACTCATAAATGCAAATGCTTGAAAACACATGACTACATACAGCATTAGACAATTATTGTCTGAAAATAGTATTAAAATTAATTCTCTTAATTTTTAGGAAATGGCTAAAATGCCTACTAATTTTCACAACTTCTATTATCACATATAACAGACAAACACATTATTCTCCTTACTTATCACTGGCCAAGTGATAAAAGCGTCTGCTCACGCATCCAATGCACAGCAAGCTCACAGCATCCAAGTAGGAAAATATATTCAGCAAAACTTCAGTGGGCATTCTGAGAGAGGATGGAGAAAATTAAACAAGTTAACCAATACTGAATCTACAAATTACCCAGAACACAATTGGCTATGCATCTCTAAGGAGAGGGCTACAAACATGTATTTTATATGTGAATGATGTCAGTTAAACCTCCAAATGCCTGTCTCACTATCTCCCTCCTCCTGGAACAGAGAGACGAAGCATGTAAACAAGATATTTTAGAAGTCCAGCTGCTACCCAGGGCCTGGCAGCCCAAAGCATGGAAGCCCGTGCCTTTCCCATCACACTAGCTACCCTAGTGCCTCTCCTACAGTAAGCCTGCCTCTCTACCTCTGTGCTTCCACTCTGGTACATTCTTCTCCGAGCTCTTTAATCTCAACTTTCACTTTCCAGCTTCAATGTCACCTTCCTTAACACCTAATTCTATTACTCTGCTATATGGAATTCACTCATTTTCCTGACAGTATGCACCCCAATTTATAATTTTTCACTTTAAAAAACACCTTTCTCACTAGCTCAACAGCTTCTAGGAAACACATGTAAAGGCTCACGGTGTGTCCCTCAGCATCTGGTACAGCATCAGATTATTGTGTGACAGATCCTATTCCCAGAGTAAAGGGTTTTAAATGTAACTGATGTCCTAATTACTTCTATGTGTAAAAACATACTGAAATAAGTACATGGAAATATGCATATTAAATATGGTACTGTTGGCTGAACTAAGTATGATAGACACAGTGTTAAATGTTCAATTGTGAATTAGTTTTGCAATGCACAGGATCTTCAGGCTTTGCATGAAAATACCAACGTGACAGGACTCCCAGGGATGCTAATTAAGTCAGTGTATCCCATAATGGTATTACAACACACATCTATAGGCACGTTAACATCAGTTCACCATTTTTGTTAAAGAATGAATGAATTTGGGTTCCAATGGTCACAGAACAGATCTCACTGTGACAAAGAGTTCCAAACCCATAGGCTCATACAACTTCAGAAGAAACATGATCTTCTTTTGGCTTTCCACAAGTCTTTATCTACTGAGAAGTGAATAATTAGGAAGAACAATTTAACAGAAGGAAAATTCAATGTACTTGTCACCTTTAGAAGTTTAGTTTCATAAAACTAGTCTAATAAGGATAATGGTGACAGGCTCATGACTCATGTCAAACTCTGTGTTGTACATTCTTCCTACACAATCTTATTCTTAGAAAGCTCAGAATAGCAACTTGGTATATGCTGCACTATAATTTTCTCTAAAAACCCATGCCTAAAGCCCACCATCCCATGAGAAGCAGGCTACGTACCTGTCCAGGGATACAAAACAGATGGAGGAGTTCTTGTTATGTTGGCCACGCCTGGTATACTGCCTCAAGACAGGTGAGCCTCTAGCAAATTTAACCCCAGGATCCTTTCTGAAAGTAAAAGGGAGAAACTCAAGTTATATAATTACCAAATGAGGTGAATTTTCTATTCCCCTGTACAAAATTCTGAGGATCAATAAACTCCAAAGATGATTCAATGTGAAACTTCATCTCTGAAGTAAAGAAAGACGGGAAAAGGGGATAAAGGAATAGAGGGGAATGGAAGGAAGGCTTCAAAGCAAGTGTGCGGAGGGTAAATAAACTTAAAGTCCGTACTTCATAGTGCAGTACTTGTGCTCATTACAGACTGTCAGCCTGTCAGAGGGGCATTCCAAATGTGCGTAAGGGAAACAAAGGGAAAATGATAAACATGCCGTTCTAGCTCCATTTTATTGCAGCAACAAAATGCTCCACCCAAAAACAATTTAGAAGGTAAAGGGGCTTGTTGCAGGTTATACTCCACCAATGAGGGAACAGAAGCCTAAAGAGGAGCTTGAGGAGCACAATCCATGGAGCAATGCTGCTTGGTGGCTCACTCACAGGCTCATGCCTAGCTCGCTTTCTACATCCCAGGACCATATGCCCAGTGAATGGGGATGCCCACAGTGGGCTGGTCCCTCCATCAATTAACAATCAATACAGTCACTCATAGCCACGCCCTGAGGCCCCTGAGATTCTCTTCTCAGATGATTTTAGGCTGCGTCAAGCTGACAATTAAATCTCTAACTAAATGAGCTATTCAGTGGCCAGCTTCTCTGTAACATGGTGAGGAGGCCTTAGCATGTCTGAGTTTTGCTAGGCTGAAGTTTGTATACCACACTATTTTTATTTGTTCTCTTAGATAGGTAGTCTTTTTTATTTTCTTATATTTTTGGTTGTAAGCCTACCCTTTAATGGCTGAGCCATCTCTCCAGTCTTTCCTTTTTATTTTCTATCTTTTAAATTTTTTTAATTATTTGTGTGTGTGTGTGTGTGTGTGTGTGTGTGTGTGTGGTTTCATCACCTAAGTGCAGATGCTGGTAGATGCAAGGGGTCTTAGGTTCTGGAACTGAAATTCAAGTAGTTGTAACTTGAGTCCTCTGTAAGTACAGTACCCACTCTTAAACCCTGGGCCATCTCAGCAGCCAGTAGAGCCTCTCTTGATTGAAAAATTACACTATGGCAAAACACCGTTACCAATATCATAATGCTTTTTAGGTAAGTTTATACTTGACTTGACTTACCACAACAGTATAGTATTTGTTTATATTGAAAATCTCTCTCTCTCCTCTCCCCCCCTCTCTCTCTGTGTTACTGAGAGAATGTAAGTTTTCATTCAGTGTATGTATGAAAGAAACCTTAGACTTCCTGGATTAAACCTCCACACAGCCACAGTATAAATCAATATAGACTTTATAAGAATAATCAGAAGTAATTTTAAATCACTTTAGAATGTATTCTTTATAAAAAACTGATTTAATGGTGGCACCACTCACCATTTAGCTAAAGAGACTGCATAGTTGTTGCTTGGCTATAGAGACTTTGTGACAAAGCTCTAGTTTCTAGTTGAGTGGATACAGCCCCACTTCCTTCTTTAGTTTTATTACTTAAAAATAAAATCATTTGTATAGTGGTCTTTGGATTCACTGATTTGTTTCCTTTTGCCCTCAAAATATTGATGATCTGACATGGTTTGGGAAAAGAAATAAGATGAATAAACTTATTGAAAAAAATATAAAGCCTACATATTTAAAAGTATTAATATTGATGAAATAGCTGAACAGGATGTCCTAACTAGTCCCTAGAGATGGAATGAAGGCCAAGATTGGGAAAGTACAAAAAAAAAAAAATTCTGCAAACGAGTCTGGGAACTTTCCCACTTACTTTGTAGTGAAGATATTAATGCTTTTAGAGCTATAAAATGCAAATTTGAGAACTCAGAATAAAAAAAGGATATGGTTTTACATTATAAATTAATCATTAGAAGATTATAAAAATAAGAGGAATATTGAAGAAATTATATTTGATATATAAATAGGGATATATATGTATATATATACAAAGGTTTAAAATAAATTATAGTATAATTTGATGAGAACTTTTGCTTTGCCTATTATAAGTTAAGAATTAGTCTTTTGGATTCTAAATTGTCTTTGAACAATGACCATGAGGAAATGTTGAGGGCCTCTCCTCCCCTACTTGTCTACTTGTTCCCAGATCTGTGATCATTGAATTTTATGATTATGACTTTTCAAGGATGCTTTGATTCCTGTTGGGAAAATAGCCACATATTAGACATTTTTGAAATGCAAATATAGATCAATGTACTCATTGTTGTAAGATATAAACTCTGTGGTCCTGAGAAGAGAGAGACACATATTCTCTCCTGTAACATGTCCTGCTACATCCACCTTCTCAAGTCCTGACCTCTGCTGGCACTCATCACCAGCAATTTAATAGTTTTTGTTTTGTTTGTTTCAAGATAGGGTTTATCTGTAACTTTAGAGGCTGTCCTGGAACTCCTTCTGTAGACCAGGCTAGTCTGAACTCAGAGGTCTGCCTGCCTCTGCCTCCTGAGTGCTGGGATTAAAAGCATGTGCTGCTACTGCCCGGCTCCCAACGTATTTCTGGTTTTGGAAACCCTCTGCTTTACAGTTCACTGTTAGGCTGATCCTAGGAGACTAATATTACCTCGGCATTCTTCTTTGCTTCTGAACTTTTTTGTGAGGGCCAGGTAAAAGGGCTTGAAGCTTTTCTGTTGTAGACATCGTCGTTTAAACACAAAATTTCAAGAGAAGTATTAAAATATATGATAGAATTAGGATTTTCTGACTAGAGGGACTGGGATGACAGTCCCAGATTTTCAGATATATGCCCCTTGCCCTCTCTTTCCCTCCCCTTTCTGCTGTCCAGAGTCAGACACAGAACAACTGTCTGGCTTAACTCGGAGATGACTGGAGAGTCAGATGAGACAAAATACACACTGGGCTTCATTTGGGCTAGCTCGTAGAGGCAAGTGCTGTCTGCAGTGTTTGCTGTGTGTGTTGTTACCCTCCAGGCTCTAGGAGAGTTTATCCAACTTCTCATTCCAGACTGCCAGGGTGCAGATGACAGCTACTAATTATGGAGAGCGTCCCGTGTGCCAGCCACTCTGTTGCTAGCTAGGGGAGAAAAGCCCATTCTGTGGCTGCTCAGGAGCCTAGAGAACTGGCAAGCTGGAAGCTTGTGGAAGAACTGATGGTTACTGGTACATACACATTGTGATGTACTATCTTGGCAAAACATAACAGGCTACTGCCCAGTGAACTGAAGCCTAGTGTTCTCCAATAGTAAAATGTGCTTAGAGTTGATAGTTGGCATCTTTTATAACCCATTTGGTATAGATTTTGTATATCAGCTTCCAGAGAGTTAATTAGCTTTCCATTGAAATTGTTAGAACAGCTTATTTTCGCTTCTAATCACAGCCTTTTTTCTTATGTTAATCCAAACACATCTTGGGAACCAGGTTGATCCTGAGGTTTGTTATGATTGGTGGATGAGAAATAGGTAATGTGTACTCTGCACTGCACCTTAAATAGCATACTGGGTAGCTCACGCATGTATGGTGTACAGTGCTCAAAGAAGCACCTTCTAGGCATTTCCAAGAAACACTGAGTATCCACTAGGAGCACTCATTGGGGCTACTTCCTAAAATTGGTGTCTGTGGACTGGACTTGCTGTTGTCTCGGATATCCTCCAATCTGATGCAAACTTGTCTTAGGACCTTTGAAAGAGTATGCTTACTTCATCAGATCTAAAAAGCTGTGAATTGTAAGATGCACTGTTTCATGACTTACTAAAAAGACAGCCGATTAAAGTATAATCTATTGACTCTAAGATGTTAAAATGTGGAAAACTTTAGGATTTAGGTACGTCTGTGTCTAATTAAAGGATAGTTAAACTAAAGGATAGTTAGTGCTATTCTTTGAAGCTCTGGCAAAGATCAACAAAGTTGTAGGTTGTGTTGAGACAGATCTAGCTCTCAGATAGGAAGCTATTAAAAACCTATGTTATATTATTGAAACTGGCCACTCAATATATCTGTTTTAGTTAGATGTAACTGTCACCTTGGCACACCCTAAAACCATCTGAGAAATGGTAAAAAGAGTTCCAAAAGGGCTGTCAGGAGAATCTTGGTGACGGTCATCTTCTAGGTGGGGACCACAATATCTTTTTAATTATCTAGTGGACGACTTCGTTATATGTTCTATGAAACGAAGGAAAGGGGTCTTTTTTAAAGGCAGGAAAAAAAATCATCAAAAAGTGGCCATGCCGTTTTAGAAAAGTGTTTTTAAAAATATCTGCAATAAAATACCCTTGCTTTCTTTATAAATGTAGAATGCAATGAGTTTTAAAGCACTTAACACATCCCCTGGTGCGGAATATGTCATTAAGATGTGTTTAAAGAATAAACCGGTAAATAACCTGTAGTTTAAAAAAAAAAAAAGCAGGAGTCACGTGCCCGAATGGGACCAATGAAAATATTCCAGAAAGGGCGATAAGGTGGGATACCAAAGGGAGACCCACCCGCGAGCCCCGAGCGTCACCTGAACCCGGAGTGCCCCGCGGCCGCCCCCGCGCTGCCCCAGGCGGCGCTAACACCGGGAAGGGACCCGTGCAGCGCCTGGAGGCCGAAACGTCCCGGTCGCAGCATCCGACCGCGTCCGGTCGCCATGGAGACCCAAGAGTACCTTCGAGCGGCGCGGCGGGGCAGGCAGGAGGCGGGACCCCTCGCGCCTGCGCAGAAGCGCGGCCGGGCTCGCGCGTACGTGGGCTGGGTCACCCCGCTGACACCTCCGCCCTTGATTCCCGAACGACGTCCCGGACACTTCCGGCCCCGGCGTCTGTCGCACGCCCCGGTCATTCTGATGCCAGCTCGCCGTTCAGAGCCCAGGTCCGTTGGCCTGTGGCGGCCCGGCTCATCTACCCGTGCGAGCTGTGGTCTTGGGAGGAAACGGAAAGGCTGGCATTGCCACTTCCTCGTGATTATGGCGAGCCCACCACACGGCAGTCGGCAGTCCTCTATAGCAAGGCTATGAGAACACGCACTTGCAACTAGTCCGACTTTGCAAGTTCTATTTTAGCCAGGCAGCCATTAACATCCCCGCCTCTTCCTGCCGTCGGGACTCTCGGCGCACGCGCGGCGACCCGCGCAGAGGAGACCGGCCTGGGCTTTGTGACCGCTTGGCATTGTGGGCAATGTAGTCCATCCTGCCTTCCTTTCTCTGTGGTCGCACAGTAAAAAGTGGAGTCCTTAAACTGCGATTCCCAGGATGCATGGGGTTTCCCAGACTGCTTTGCGAAAGCATGGCGGGCAAGATGTGAATGTCAATAGTGAGGTAAACAGGGCATTTTAATTCAAGAGGAAAGAAAGAACAGAAAGTGTGCGTAACCTCTCTTGGAGACTTTTCATCTTGACATCCGCCTAACACGCTGTGTGATGTCAGTGAGTTGATTTCATGTCCGCCTGCGTGTTTGAATTCCTAAACTTTAGAAGTTGCAGTCCCGAAGCCTCACCATTTTTGTGAACATGCTTTGTGCTTCTCTGCGAGTTGTGCAGCGTATGGAGAAGCTGCCCCGGTGCTTGGGCAAGCAATTGTTGCCACATTCTGTGCTCACCAGAGCTTACTTGAAGACCCAGCCTTTGAGATGGGGGCTGCTAGAGCAGAAGAGAACAGTGCATCCTAGAACTGCTCTTGGGTTCACACAGAAAACCTTCTGGACGCAAGGGCCGAACCCCCAGAAAGCAAACGAGGACGGCAGCAAGCAAGTGTCTATTCACGGAAATCAGAGAGAGGAAACCGGCGTCTCAACGTCTCAGAAAGGTAAAATATACAGTACTCCAGTAAAGACCAACCTAACAAAATCTGCCAAATGCCATCCTATGCCGAGTTCATGTCTAAAGATGGGGTAGGGAAATTATACAGAAAAAGGGAATTAATAGAACTGTTAAATATATGTCGACCCGCAGTTTTCACAACTTTATAATTGTTTTTAAAATTGATCTTGAATTCGGTATGATTATTACATTGTGAGTAATAGTTGTGTGGATAAAAAGGAAGAGATACTATTGTCAGTCAATAGAGAAAGTGTTTTACCGTTCAATTGCAGATGCAGAAACACAAGGCATGAAAGTCTTAAGTGAACTATTAGGTCAAAAAAGTCAGAAAGATGAAGAACACTACACTGTAGTGTTAACAGGATTTTTTTTTTCTTTTGGTTTTTGACACAGGGTTTCTCTGTGGCTTTATAGGCTGTCCTGAAATTCTCTCAGTAGACCAGGGTGACCTCGAACTCACAGAGATCCACCTGCCTCTGCCTCTCCAGTGCTGGTATTGAAGGTGTGCACCACCACCCCTAGCTTTAACAGGAAGTTTTAAAACTTAGCAAGTGTGTGTAATAGTAACATCTTTACACACAGTAGATATTATGGGAGCTGTTTGTACTTGACTTAGAAAATTCCTGTCAAGAATGAGTATTGGGAGGAACAGGATTTTGTGGGCCAATGACCAGATTTGGAAAGCAGGAACAAATATGCCTTAGTCTAATTGTTCTGTGTTTCAATTTGGGGCCTCACACAGTGTCTGTTGACACATAATTTATGACATTATGGATAATGAAATAGAGATTGTCATTGCAGACCTCAGCCTCTGCGCCTGGTAAAGATTGCATTTTTGAAGCAATTACTATTTAAATCAATCCTATCAATTATACAAATTTTGGTAGATGCAATGTTTCTCTTTTCTTTTTAAAAGATTCCTCTCTCTCTCTCTGTCTGTCTCTGTCTGTCTGTCTGTGTGTGTGTGTGTGTGTGTGTGTGTGTGTGTGTGTGTGTGTGTGTGTCTATGTGTACACGTGAGTCTAGGTGAACATGGAAGCCAGGAAAGGTTGAGGTTGTCAGATCCTCTCCAGAGCTGGAGTTACAGGCAATTGTGAGCCATCAGATGTGGGTACTGGGAACTGAACTGCAGTTGTCTGCAAGAGCAACAAATACTCTTAACCTCTGAGCCATCTCTCCAGTCCCTGAACACATTTCAGATTCGAAACCAGTGCCTGAAAGTATGTTATGGTAAAGACTACTTTTAAATACGTGGTTTTATTATGATACTTTACTGTACATATGAAAAGCGTGGAGGGGAAAATACTACCTGTTAAATTTTTGATTTCCTGGAAAAATAAATTCTTAAGGATTGAAGTTAGAGAAACCTGGCTTCCTAACATGACTATACTAACCTGTTTGCGTACCAAAGAGGCAAATGTTCTCAGCATCCGTGAAAAAGTACAGTGTGATAATGGAGCTTTTCACATATAACATGCACTTACATAAATAATGTGTGTAAGCACACATGCTCCCTCATAATAATATCATGATTCATTAATTACCTTTAATCCACATGCTCATATACTTACTTAGTACATAAAAATAAAAACAGCCTCTGTAGGTGTATTTAATTCAGAGATCATCCTGGCCAGTTGCCTTCCAATTCCAAGTTGAGTTCAAGGACTTTATGCGCCAGTCAGTGGGGACCTGTGGGGTGATACCGTTAAGAGTTGTTTCTTTTTGGGTTCTTCCCTTGTCTTTCGGTTGACTATGTTGGCATTCTTGGTCAGGGTAGACCTGTGTCCATGTTGCCTCATCTCTGTCAATCCTCACTCTTGAGAGACTGATACAGGTTTTCTGCCACTAGAAAGGAAGCAGTATCAACATTATGATATCCAGTGAAAGTAGGGCGAAGATGGGTAGGCCATGTGTACAGCCATGCCAGAATGGACAGCCCATTTTCATCTGCACTCGGAAGCCAAGCGGGGCTAGGCCTAGCATTGGGGTGAGGGATTCATTTCAAACTGGGAAGCTTGGGAGCATTGGAATCATCTGCTGAGGATGCTCCCTTGGGCCCTAAGCCCCACATGCCACCTGCTCAGAACACACAAAGCCCCCAGGAACCAGGGTACCATGGACACACTTATAACCTGTCAACATTTTCTCTTGCCAGTGAAGGAAGCCGGAAGAGACTTCACCTACTTGATAGTGGTGCTCTTCGGAGTCAGCATTACAGGTGACAACCCAGCAAGCGCCTCAATACCTCTCCACAGCCTCCCACCCTGTGGCTCTGCCTCATCTTTCTCTCTGCTTTTTCAGGTGGCTTGTTATACACGATTTTCAAAGAATTGTTTTCTGCATCCAGTCCTAACATCATATACGGGAAAGCCTTAGGCAAATGCAGAACGCACCCAGAGGTTAGTTTCCTGATGAGAAGGTGTTGGGGAGCAGGAAAGCATCACCTCTGAAGCAGTGACATCCTACGATGATGAGCTGTTGGGGTCGCCTTTAAGTCACTAGGCCTTTGTTCACTGACTCACTTTGATCCCGGCACTCAAAGGTCACTATGTATGTTTTCCTCCCAGCTGTACCAGTGGTCACTTTATCCATTCTTCACGGGTGTTGAATGCCCGTACGTCAGGGTGGATACTTCAGAAGCTGGCGGTGTCTGACAGTTTCTTAGCCTGACTACACGGGCCTGTTCCCCCCTAACACTGTTGAACGGGAAGGTCCTGAAGCCTTACTCTTTCCATATTATACCAGACCATTCTGATTTCTCTATGTTGACTAATTAACTGAACTCTTGCCTTTAATGGGCTCAGGCTCTGCATCTGAATTGTAGGCAGTTCATCCTTGCCACCATGTGTGTCTAGTAAATCTCTGACTTTCCTGTTCTCGGTGTAATTAGGAGGGCACAGCAGAATTCCTGGTTCCACGAGGGTGGGGTGCCATTGTACACATTTTTATCCTTTTATCGAAGCCCTCACAAAATTTCCCAAGGGAAAGGGAATTAATATTGAGAATCATTAAAAATGAAAGAAAAAGGGTACTAAAAATGTGTGGTCTGCAATGTTGAAATGCTGAAATTTTGCCAAGCAGCAATGGTCACCATTCTGTCCATTCCAGTTTGGAATTCAAGGAATTCTATATGGTCTCCAGTAGGCACCTAGCCTGTGTTAGGATGCGGTGGAATTCACAGACACAGGCCCTAGGCATTTTCAGATTGAGACAGATAGAACCACATGGAATATATGGAAGAATGGGCATTGTTGAGATCAGTTTCCTTGCAGGTCTGTCTTGTCGGTACTGGTTGAGTCCAGTTTGCCAGGTTGTCTGCCTGCCTTACAGTAGCTAATCCTAATCTGAAACGGCTGGGCTTGCCTCTGAACTCCTTGACAGTTAGTCCTTCCAACGCTTAGGTTTTGGGTGTCTGGCAGCTGACAACCTTCCTTTTCATGGATGTTTGCAGTAATAAGGACACCCAGCAAAGAGACTCAGGATAGTGTTTTCCTTTTATATTCAGTTTGTGTTCTTAGAGAGGATTCCAACGTGTTTGCTTTGAAAATTCAATGCAAACTGTTTCTATATCAACTGAATTTTTGTCATTAGGAAAAAAGGTTTGCACTGGTTTAACGGCACCAGTGTTACTTGATACTCTTCCCTTCCTATGCTCAGGGCTTTAAATTTTATGTTTAACTCAGCTTTTAATACTAGACACCTAACAATGGCACTTCAAATGCCTGTCCATTTTATCTTCCAAAATGAGTGTTAGTAGAGAAATATTTCTACACTTTGGTTTATTTTGTTTCTTGTAAAGAGAGGGAACAGCTTCATCTCAGCCTTGATCATTCCAAAGCTACAAGTGACAATGCAGAGTGACCCATTTCTGTCCCTGTGCATGAGATATTTACTTATTTGCAGTATGATGTTTATATAATGTCCTTTTATTCCTAGTTTTCTTGTTTGAGTCACCATTCTTGTAAAGTGCTTCATCATACTGACTTTTCCCCCCTGAGATCACTTAGAATGTGCAGACAAATCATGTATCAGTTGATAATCAGTAAGTATATATGTAGGAACCATGTAAAGAGTCACACTAAATAGTCATGGTCTGTGTTCTGCAGGTGATCAGTGTGTTTGGGGAGCCTGTTAAAGGCTACGGGGAAATGTCGAGACGTGGGCGGAGACAGCATGTCAGGTAATATAGTGCCCTTGGGAGAACTCTAGGATAAATGTTTAGTAAAAGGAACTTGATGTCATCTTTGTTTTCTTGACAGTTTTATTGAATATGCAAAAAATGGGCTAAAGCGCATCCGTGTGAAATTCTACATTGAGGGCTCTGAACCAGGGAAGCAAGGAACAGTGCATGCAGAAGTGGAAGAGGTATGCCAGTCTCGGGGTCACCAGGGTCAGAGGGGCAAGTGGGGTCACTGGGGGCCAGTGGCTCTGAGCATAGTGTTGCTCAGGCTCTGGAGAAGGTAACAACTTCTGCACATTTTTCAGGACCCACAGAGTGGCCAATTTGAATTTCGATATGTATTTGTGGAAGTGGCTCCTACTAGATCTATTATCGTTGAAGATAATCGTTCCCAAAGGAGTTAACAGAAACAAGCCAGCCTGCTGCTTCCTGCAGTGGATAAAGGGATTCATTGCCACTGTGATCTTCACAACTCTCAGAAACTGTTCAGAAAAATAAGAATAAAAAGTATGTCACACAGAAAGTGAGTGTAATGTGAGAATTCATGGGTTTGGACAATCCAGACTGAGATTTTTCTTGTGAAAAATCATGAAATGTAGCCAATTTTACAGCATCATGTCAAATTGCAAATCATTGACAGTATTTCAGCTCTATGTTCATGATAAATTTTTGTTACTGCAATTTATACACCACATAAATAAAAGTTTCAATACTTTATGTTTTGTAATATTCTGTGGTTCTTTTACAGCCTACAAAGTAAAGATAAACCTAACAAAAAGATGTCAAAAGCATTTTCATTTACCAGATGATAAATACATTGTGGCTGCTTTTCCCCCTTGTCTGAAAAGGCTGCCTTAAGCTAAAGTGAAGAGTTGTATATTAATTCTGTGGGCAGAGGAAATCTCAAAATGGACTAGTATGGACTCTATTACACTATTAGTGGTAATGCCAATGAAGATTTATAATGAAAAGGAGCAAACTGAGCAAGAAAAAATACAAGGTGTAGAATAATTTGAGATAAAAGGAACACTAGGAAGTGTAATGGAATTAGTACTGTATTCAAGAAGATAAAAACAAATTTAAACTGGAATAAAGGAAGTTGTGACCTCAGGGCAAGATCACACCCAGCTAAGTTTCCAACTTGTGAAAAAAATTAAAGGAAAGCTTAGAGCCAGGTGTGTTGGTCCATGCCTTTAATTCCAACACTGGGAAGGCAGAAGCTTCCTGAGTTTGAGCCCCCTGGTCTACAGAGCAAGTTCAGGACACCCAAGCTTAGGCAGTGAAAGACTGAAAGCTGGTGAAGATGTAAGTAACCAAAGGAATCATGTTCCAGCCCAAGAAAGCAGCAGAACTTAGCGGCTTCAGCTATGTGGTTCTGTCTTTAGAGTTAGGGATAGAAAAAACAGGTTATAGAATTTGCCTCATGGACTAAGGAAAGCAGCTAAGGCCAGGCATGTGTCAGGGGTATCCCTAAATGGAGACCTAGAGAAGCTGTTGTGAGATGCTATGAAGCTGACCCTGGATTGCCTTGGAGACCCCAAGATATTGGAGATGCCAGAGCCATGGGTTACCTGCTGAGGAGAGTTGCTAACAAGGAGCAGGACTAGCTCAAAGCAAACAAATGTGTTGCAGCCAGCAAAGCTAAAAGGAGCTTTGAAATCAGACATGGAGATGTAGAGTGTGGAGATTGTCCAGCTGGTTTTCAATCTTGCTTTGGTCCAGTGCTTCCTCACTCTGCTCCCTTCCCTATGGTTTGGAATGATAATGTATATCTGTGGACTGTCATGGATGTCATCATGGCCCCACTTTGCATTGAGTGCTATATGATTGTGGTGGCTTGAATGCAAAATGGCCCCAATAGGCTTAGGGAGTAGCACTAGTAGGAGGTGTGGCATTTTTGAAGTAGGTGTCTTTGTTGGAGGAGTTGGAGGACGTGTGTCACTGGGGGTGAACTTTGAGGTTTCAGACGCCCAAGTCAGGCCCAGTGTCTCACTCTGTCTTCCTGTTGTCTGAGGATCCGGATTTAGAACTCTGAGCTCCTTCTCTAGCACGGTGTCTCCCTGAATACAGCCATGCTTCCTCCCATGATGACAATGGCTAAACCTCTGAACTATAAGCCGGCACCAATTAAATTTGTAAGAGTTGCCATGGTAATGGTGCCTCTTCACAACAATAGGAACCTTAACTAAGATAATGATGTACTAACAGTTTTCAATGAGTAGCACAGACAAAAAGTATAGTTCAACCCGCCTGTAAGATTTGCTGAGGTACTCTGCCCCCTCTTCCTCTGATACCCATTTCCAAATTGCTCACCCAGCCTTCAGTAAGAGTAGTCAGTGCTTCCCTAAGTTCACAGCCCTAATTCTAATAAACCTTAGGGAGTATAAGATGCCCTCCTTTCCTCTCTTCCCCCTTCTCGTCACTCTATGTCACCTCCCTTCTTTGTGATACTGGCAATAAACTTTTGTTTATAACAGTTAACAGAAAATCAAACACATCATAAGGTATTTAACATGTACTGATGCCAGGTATTCCTTTGGGATCTGAGGGTTATCTGTTTAAAAAAAAGAAAACATATTAAAACTAAGCCTATTTGGAAAAAAAAAAAAACAGTTTCATCAAATAGGAAACTCTATCTTTATTCCCTGCAGCTAGTATCAACAGCTTTATCTCTCATGCATGAGAGGGAGGAATGACACAATGAATGATACACAGAATCATAGGGGTTGGACCAGTCAGAATACTCCAGTCCAAATAGGAGTCACACTTGTAGCAACTTGTTTCTAATCACTAACTGTGGTAGAATATTCGCTTCTGTAAGCACACTTGTCAGCATTGTTTTACATGTAAATGATATCTCTAAATAAGTTCTGTGGGAAGCACATGGGTTTCTCCTTTAGCATAGACACAAAAGAAACATGTATTGATTTCCACATGAACCTTACAGAACCCCTTGTCTGTAAAGAGAAAGCCTTCCCGACAGCGTGGTTCCAGAGCCGCATCAGTCCCAAATAAACACACATGAGGCTATATTAGTTATGAAGCTGTTAGCCTTGCTTGTTTCTTACTGGCTAGCTCTGACTTAAGTAATTACCCCGTAATTGTTAATCTAAGTATTTCTCTTACCGGAGAACTTTCCGGGCTTCTTATCCCTATGGCAGTTACATCTTGACTTTCTGTGTTTCTCCTACCCAGAGTCCTCCTGGACTCCTAGTCCCACCTATCTTGCTTCCCTATTGGCCAACAGTGCTTTATTGACATATACACAGGACTTCCCCAACACTTGTCTTTGGCATAGAATGATGAAAATCAACTGTTTTTCCCAGAAACCTCTGGCTACTATGTGTGATGGACTACCAGTATAAATGCTGTTGATTTCAGAAAAATTCAGATGAGAAACATAAGCTTATCAAACCAAATACCATCATTGATGACAGTTTGTATTAAGCCTATACATAACTAAAATGTGCTAATACGTACACATGTGATGTCCTTTCAGGTAGTTCCAAATCACATAAACATCTTAAAATGCCTACTCTTTTTCATAGCAATGACAAAGGTGTTCATTCCAGTACTTGTCAAATATGTGTCACTTGTTATTATTGAGGTTTTTTATTCATATTTTTTAATTTAACCTTTTACACATGTCACTCTCAGTTCCCTCCCCTCCTCCCCTTCCCCCCCAACCCTCCCAACTCCCCACTCCCACTCCATCCTGCCTCTACTCCCCAGGGAGGACAAGGGCTTCTAGGAGGGATTTTCAGAGTCTGTCATGTCATCCCAGGCAGGGCCTAGGTCCTCCCCCATGTGTCCAGGCTGAGAGAGCATCCCTCCACGTGGAATGGGGTTCCCAGGGTCCATCTGTATGCCAGGAATGAATACTGCTCTACTCTCCAAGGTCCCACAAATTGCTGAGGTCTCCTCTCTGACACCCAGGTTCAGTGGGGGGGGGGGGGTGGATCTGGATCAGTCCCATGCTGGCCTCTCAGGCATCAGTGTGGGGTCCATGTGTTCCCTCTTGTTTAGGTCAGCTACCTCTGTGGGTTTCCCCAGCCTGATCTTGATTCCTTTGCTCATCACTCCTCTTTGCAACTGGGTTCCAGGAGTTCGATTCAGTTCCCAGCTGTGGGTGTCTCCCTGTGCCTCCGTCAGCCATTTGATGAGAGTTCTAGGATGGCGTATAAGGTAGCCATCATTCTCATTATCATGGGAGGGCATTTAAGGTAACCTTAATGCCAGTTGGTGTCATTCTTGTAGATCTGTGAAGATCTCACTAGTGCCAAATCTCTCCTCCAACTTATAATGGCTCCCTCTTTTATGGTATCTCCTATCCTTCTCTCCTCTATTCTTACCCTGGCTCAACCTTCCTGCTCTCCCATGTCCTCCTCTCTTTTCCCCTCTATTTCTCCCGTCTCCTAGGTTTTTCATTTCTAGTGTCCTCAGTCCTGGAACACCATAATATTTGTTAGGGCTTATGTATAAGTTTCCTTTCGGTGAGGGCATAGGCAGCTATAGCTCTTTAGCACTCTTCTTGTGGGAGAACATGAGGGATGTGGAACTGTGGGAGCAAGCAGACCTGATTCGATTGCATCCAACTTTTGAAGGACCCTTGATCTGACTCCCGAGGACATTTCTTCAAGGGGACTTGGAACATATTGCTTTCTTCCTATCCAAAGGAGAACATGAATACTTTTAGAGTTTAGGCTAGAGAATTGGAGTTTGCATGTGTGGAGAGCTTGGAACCATACTTAATTGGGACAAAATATTTCCAAACACAAATAATTTCACGCTGAAGCCCACATCCCAAGAAAACTTAAGTCTTCTTTGGAACCCACAGCCCTCACTGCCATTGTCTACCCTTGCTGTGATCTCCCACCCAGGTGTTCCTCCTTCATTCATCCTTGGTCTAGGCCTTCCAGTGACCCTCACTACACATGCCTCCACTAAATGGTAGGATTTTTCTTGGCAAACCCACTGCCCATTAAAAAAAATTATATGTCAAAACTCATTAAGTACACACAATCCAATAGCCAGCCTGGCTTATAATGTAGTGTGCTACAGAGCAAGGAATGGTCACCCTCATGATCTAGGAAATGCCCAGGATCTGGAGAGTATGGTATACATGGGTTTAACCAAGGGAAATCCAAATTCAAAATTTGAAGTGTGGTTTGCATTAAATGTATATCACTTTTATACCATAGTGTGGCAGCTAGTTTTATGTCAGTTTGACAGAAGCTAGGGTTAGTTGAAAGGTGAGACTGTCAACTGAGAAAATGACTATATAAGATCAGGCTGTACTACAATCCCAGTGCCAGTGAGTCTAGGAAACAGGGAGGTTCCCAAGAGATATGCATGGTACCCCAGAGAAGTGGAATGAGGCAAGATCTCCTGAGCAGATTGGGAACATTGGGGGAGGGGAGAGGGAACCAGGAAAAAGGGAGGAGTATAAGAGGAAGGGAGAAGAAGGCATGGGGGAGCAGGAAGGTTGAGTTGAGGTAAGAATAGAGAACAGGATGAGAGATACCATAATAGATCGAGTCATTATAGGTGTGAGGAGAGAACTGACACTAGTGAGATTTCTAGAGATCTACAAGGATAACACCAATTGGCAAACTAAGCAATAGTGGAGAGACTACATTAATATCCCTTCCTTGATGATAAGGCTGATGACTACCTTATATGCCATCCTAGAACCTTCATCAAAGGACTTATGGAAG